CCTTCCCACTTCAGTTTTGACACAGGCACAGTGACAAATTTGAAAAGTCAGCGAGAGCATATTTCTTCATTTGGGTGAATGAAAAATAGTTTCAGTTGAGGGAAAACGTCTTCGTTTGAAAGAAACACTATTTTAAGTCATTTTCCAGGAACTCTGAGAGTATTTTGATGACTTACTTATTCATTTCTTTTTAATAATATAATACTTTTCATTTCGCAAGGCGGCGCCCAAGTATGTTATCACTAGCAAACTTGCATGTTTCGCCGAAAACAGAGATTTACCTGGATTTTAGTATCACAAATGCTGGCTTCGTTTTCGTGATAGAAGTATGCGGCTTCTTTTCGCGTACAATTTCTACGCTTTAATATATTGTTGTTGAGTTACATTTTGTACAGAGAAACTGGAAAATGCTTACAAAAAATTGCTAAAATTTTAAGAAATAACCACAGCGTTTTCGTGCCCTATGCGGTTACTTTTAATCCCGAAAAGAAATTTGATCAAGATTTTGATCACGTACTAGGCAACCACTTCTGAGCCATGAGTGCGCGTCACACAATAAACAAAACAACCCTATAATTGTAATTTTCGTCAAGCTTCATCTAAACACTTGATTGCCCTTGAGCCTANTTTTTTCGAGCCCTGCCATTTGATTCAGCAACTGATTATGCTGGCTAAGGCCTGGTTTTCACTAGCAATGCAAACTTATGCAAGCACAAAGGGTGCAAGGACAAGAGAGGTCAATTTTACCTGAAAATTGAAGGCAGTGCAAGCACAAGAACAAGTAGCGGTGTTTCACTAGTCTTAAGTCTTTTTATCACCTGAGAAGGAAGCTGGCCCAACATGAAAGATTTCCCAGCACTAAGTACGCTTTGATTCGTTTTGACACAGCATAGCACAAGCAAACCAAAAATGTGGATGCTTGTTTTTGCGCTTGTGCTTAGGCTTGCATCAAGCATGTTCTCGCAACAAAATAAGGGGCTCTTGTACTTGTAATTATGTTTAAATTGCTTGAGCCTTCATCTCGGATCATGTCTACTAAAGGCATCTGCGGTTGAGTGTCGGTTGACCCACGATCGATACTCGATCTCGATTGAAACTCGATCGATACTCGATCGATACTCAGTCGATACTCGATCGACACTCCATCAACACTGATCATCTGTCACTTGATCAACAATTGATCAACAACTTGGTCGACAGTCGGTCAAGAGTCGACTAATTTTCGATCAATGCATAAAGTTTTATGAGTCGGTCAACACTCTGCTGACTATCAATTGACTGTTGATTGAGTGTCGACTGAGTATCGACTGAGTATTGATTAATTGACACTCAACTGTGGATGCCTTTAGTTCACATGATCACTCATCTCTTGTGAAAGCAAAAACCAGTCTTGGGCTGCCATGAAAACAATTTCATAAACTTTCTTATCATAATATGCTTATCAGATCAATAGCATTGATGGAAAATTGATTTTTTTGTTTTGTTTTTCAGCTGCTTCATCTTGGCCAAAAAGTTCTCGGCAAGCATTTGTTCAGAAGGTTACTGAAAGCTTCTTTCTATGGCCATTTTGTGGCCGGCGAAGATCAGGAGGCAATCAAGCCAGTCATCTCAAATTTGGAAAAGTTCGGAGTTGGTGCAATTTTGGATTATTCTGTAGAGGAAGACTTATCGGAAAATGAAACCAAAGGCCAGATGGGCAACAATCCTGATGAGTCATTAGACCCAGCTGATGAACATGCGCAGTACAAACCACATGTAGAGTTTGCCGACAGAAGGAAAGGAGTCTACAGTGCTAGGACATATTTCTATGAAGGCGAAGAGGAGTGTGACACGAGACTTAACACATTTCTGAAATGTATTGATGCAGCAGGTATTAAAGATGTCTACATAATTATACATGTACATGAAGGCAATGTCGTTATTGTCTTCAGGATCAAAACAGATGTGCAACTAGTCTGTCTCCCGCAACCCAGCGCTGTTTCCCACATATTTTTAGTTATTTTTGCCATTACTATTAATTAAGAAAACACTAAACAGACAAACTGGATGTTCTTCTCTGGGCAGTCTTTGTAATGTTAAGACGTAAGGTTGGAATTATTTTAATTGACAGTTGCTTCTAAATTTAGGAGCAATTAGGTTACAAATTCAAATTTTGGTGTTGCAAATTCCTTTTTGTTTTATGAAAAATTGTTTAACTCAATTTTATTTCATAATTGTTTTAATTAGGAGGTGCATCCAAGGATGGCTTTGCTGCCATCAAGGTGACAGCCTTGGGAAGGCCGCAGATACTTGTGAGTAATTTATGATTCATCAACAGCATTTTGTTCTGAATTACGTGTCTGTATATAAGACTGAGGAAGTTCATTATCTCTCAGTTACTGTGTTTGATATGGTTCGTCAATCTAGGGGGTGGTTTTCTAACAACCTGCTAAAATGTAAAGTCGCTTTGGTTGCCAAAATCTTTTGTGATTAAAGATGTAATTATTGCCAAGTGTTTTTTTATATTGATTACTTAATAAATTGCATGCTTGTTATTATTTCTAACAGATGAGAATCTCAGAAATCCTCAACCAGACACAATATTTCTTTGACCACTTGGCCTCTGATTCTGTTACGATGGACAAGATTGGAAACAGTGTTGCCAGAGACAAGTTCTTTGAAGGCCTGGAAAGGCTTGGGGTATATAGTTCTTATTATAACAACTTCTCTTTTAGTATAGTTATTAGTAATGGGAGGCTAAATATTCACAAACTACTAAACAGTCTTGAACTAAACATAACTTGTTAAGTTATAAAATCTTAAAAGTTGTTGTCACTGAC